CATTCACAATACATATGAATAAAATTAAAATTACGTATGTGTGTATATACGAATGGCGAGAGACGTTGAAAGAATCAATTAAAGCAATCTATGATATTTTCGAAAATTTATCTACGATAATCGAACTTTAGCACAGCGCGACACAATTTGTCGTTCTCGAAATCTCTCTTCTTTGACCATATTGTAAATATAGATGTGGGAAAAATTTCATTGCTACGAGAAAGAGGTGACGTAATGATATTGTTTATGTCTGGATTATTATATTGGATCACTTATTCTTCTTCTCCTCCTTTATCTCGTTAATCACTGTAAAAAAAGCTAAGGCATTAATTTCTATAGATTAAACGAACTTTCTAGAGTACTCGATAACGTACTCCTACGGACGCGTATTTATAGACAAATGTTTTAAAACGTGGCACGGAAAGACGTAAAGGCCTAGGTGTCCGAGTTTCGAAGTGAGGGATGAAAGTGAAAGCTGCCCACGTCTGTGTGGAAAAAAATGAAAATAAATAACAGTAGAGAGAGGCTCCAAGAGACGCCGAGATGACGAGCCGATGAATTGGAAAAAGAGAGATGACGAGGTGCGCGCTACGGGCAGGCCGGACGTCGGGAAGTGGGCGTTATTTGAAACTGCAATAATAGAGAATCAGAGCTGTTCTTCCTAGTTGTCGCGACGCGAAGCTCTCTTCATTGCTCGCGATGGCGGTTTTGACCCGCGGGTCTATTTTTTATCGATTCGTTTGTCGACCCTCTTGAACACGAAACTGCACTCTTGTTCTGCTAGCGTTTGGTACAAGATTACATTTTTCGCCATTACTCTTTCCTTTCGTGATTTCGGGGCGGCAGATGAGCAAACGATTGTTAACATTGCGAAGGAATACGAACGAGGACAGCACTAATGTGTAACGATAATTGCTAGAGCCAGTGTAGAAGAAAAGAATTTTCTACCAGAATTTCTGTGCCAATCACAAGGAATAATGTTGTAGACGAACACTTTCTTTTGTTGAGACATCATTCTAATCTTGTAAGATACTCAGATGTAACTTTATTGAATATATTTCAAGTTAGTAGTATATTATATTCTGATATTAATACGGTTCATTTTTGTATATTGGTGTGTGATAAATGAATAAGAATATTGTTTCGAAGTAAAACTGTTGTACCTATTTTTTGAAAACCTTTTTTTATTTGTGGATTTCTTTTCAACTTGATGAAATCATAGTTAGAATCTAAGTTTAGGATGATAACATTTTTCTAATAGTTTTTTCACTGACATAAGAGTTTGGTGTACAAATAGAGTGTCTAGACCACTTTTTAAATCAACTGCTTTTTTTTAGTTTTCTATAATATAATATTACTACAATTTTTATTTCGTTTAGTAAGTGAAATTGATAATTTTTTACAAGTAAAATATTAGTTTATGATAAAGGGTTAAATTACTTGTTTTAGAGATGTATTGACTACTTGTACAAAGTAAATGCGGAATCACAAACTGGTTCACTTGATTTACAACGTCAACAGAATATAACAAAAGTATATTGTCTTACCAATTTTTATCCTCATCCTTTTTTTTAATTTCGTTTATTGGCGTGGTATTGAATATACATAAGCCATTATCCTCATCCTTAATTTTATACATGCTGCTGCCATCTCGTATCTCTTCCTACTATGAAACCAATGTAATCAATACTTACCAACTTGTGGTAAGTTTTCAAATTTTATGATACATTTAACGTTATCTTAAAATTTATTTTGTAAATCTTCAACAATCTTTTATTTTTTATATAGCATTTAAACTTTTAAAGATAATTTTACACGCTCATACATATTCTGGCATACGTTTATTTAGTTGAAGCATATAATAAGGAAACTTTCGTCATTGGCGAGATAATCCTTGTCATCACTTAAATATTATATAGTCTAATTATTGGGAAAAATAGTTTGGTCCAACCAAGCTGCCAGCTTTAATTGTTATTGAACAAATTGTAAAAACATTTTGGCTTGTAACTGATTTTCTATTGGTCTGATTGAAAAAAGTACAAAAGCAAATATGTTCGTGAAAAATTTGTTTTTTGCACTTTTAGGTTGCAAAAAAACCGAGAAATTTATTGTTATTAAAATCAATTTTAATGAATTTACATTTGTTTTATTGATTGATAAAAATAATTAAAAATTTAGGATTAAGTGCCTATTATGAGTATCTTTAACCATGCACAAGCATTTTGTTTATTTAAAAAAAATGATGTCAGAATGGAATTGTTAATTCAAAAACTGATTTGTCCGAACTAGGCGTTTAAGTAAAGTTAGACCAAAAATTTCAACGGTACATTGTAAAGAACACTAAGAACTTTAATTTTATGAAGAAAAAAATAAATATATTTTAAAAATTTAAATCAGTTTTTTAACAATAAGCGAATTCTATACTTAAATAAATACCTATAACTTCGTTAATTTTGCATATAAAGAAATGCAACAAATTTTTCGAAAATTCCATCATTTTAACGTATTTTAAAAAGATATAGATTTAAATATGATGCTCCAAAAAAATTTTATAATCAAATCGGCGTTTTGTACGATTGGTCAAAAATTATTTAATTTTGCGACTTGGTAATTCTTTTATTGTATTTCTTAAGTGTTTATTAAAAAATTCATTCCAGATGTTAAAAGTGGTGTTTTATTATATCAACAAAAAAATGACTGTTTCATAACCTCAAACTTCAGATGTCCTGTTGGTGAAACATATATTGAAATAACATGGACGTTTCGCTATTGGGACATCACGTACCACTATCGAGACATGCATTCACAATGGTGTTTCGCGTTAGGTACAACATTACGAGGTAATTTGCTATTCATTTAAAATCATTTCTTGTTAAGATAAAATAAATTAAAAAATGTGAGAAATAGAGAAAAAAATATATAAATAAAAATTTGAATGTTCATGTTATTTCCTAGATGCAATTTTATATGAATTTGTAAACAAAATTTCACCAAAATCGTTCCAACATCGGTATTTTTATCTTAGTATGCTGTTATTATTCGTTTTGTTCTTTTAAACAGTCCCTAAAATAATTTAT